AATATTCTGCGAATGAGGCGGAATGGCTGAGCCCCCAATCCTCCGTGCGTCAAACAGAACCGAACTGATCATCGCTACATCCTGAGAGTCACTAACGGCAAAGCGATATTACACCGAGGATATTCACAATTGTTATAGCATCAATCTTTCATGCATTTCTCACTTCTGTGCAGTTTTATTTTTGAGATCTTTACACAGCAAACATTTTCACACTAAGAAATCTCCTAGATTTGATGCATTTCATGAGAAAGAACGATTTTTGATACTCAAAATGAATGAAAAACTGCAACTGTGCGACAGTAAATAGGAAGGATTTTATATATCATTATTCCCTCACTCACTGCAACTGCTTTATACTTACTCGGTAAATTGGTTATTTTAGTGATTAAGTTCTACTTTAAAAAGGTTCAAAAAGCAGATATAAACTGCAAAAAGTTCGAGTATAAAGTAGTCTACTTTAAGAAATAAAGTGCCTTACAATAACAGGCACTGTTTTTCGTCTCGTTTAAAATGAGAAAAAACGTTAGTAGTATCATCAAACATACACGTGGCGTATGATATGCTATATATATATATATATATACGTTATAGGAAGCATGTTTCTTCGTTTGAAGAAAAATGTTAGAAAAGGACAGATTGCTCCACGTGATAGAAACGTATATATATATATATATAAGGCATTTTATTTCTTAAAAGTAGTATTACTTTACTTTTTGAGTTTTACTTTTATACTCGAATTTTTTGCAGTTTATATCTGCTTTTTGAACCTTTTTAAAGTAGAATTAAAGTGAGTCTGAGGTGAATGATTGACCCTGATTGCATTATGTTCTCGAAGAGAAAACCGGGTAAAACATGATGAAATCAGTGTCTCAGCTGTCATAAGAAACATTCTTTTTAAGCGACTCTTTTATATCAAAAGCGTTATTGCACAGATTTTCTGCCAACAAGTGGAATAGATTTTCAAGTTCGAACAATTAACCTGGATGATAAACAGATGAACTTAGTTTTTTCAGGATACCGCTGGGCAAGAAAACTTTCGATCGCTGATTAATAATTATTTTCGAGGATTTTTCTCATTTTTTTCTGTGACAAATACGAACTTAATTAATCTGTGAAGGACATATGTCTCAAAAGAAAAGTTGTCCAAAAATCCGATAGTGTAATATTGTGACCAGCGAAAATGAGACCTACTTAGATAAGGGAACAAAGAGCTGAATTTGCTGTGTACACCTGACTTTACTACCTGCCTCTTTATTCATACTGATTTTTTCAAAAAATAAAATTTTTTGTGTATGGGACTCTCGCGGGACTTTTTGTAGAGTCCCGTAGGACTCCCTATGGATTTTTTGAGAAAAAAAACTCCCGAGGGAGTCCCGTAGGAATCCATCGGGACTTCTGCCGGGACTCTCGATTAGGGTAACCTTTAGGTAAAAGTAAAAATAAACTAACACATGTTGTTGATTGAACGAAGAATTCCCTATTAGATTAGATGATTCAGATTTTTGCTTGTAAAGTAATTACTCATTCTTAATAAAACACAAAAGTACTAAAGGTGCATTAAACATTAACGTATAGCTCTAAGTCTCTTAGCAAAACCGGGATCAATTGTTCTTTTATTCATAGCAATTTTAATATACGAGATTTATTATACCATTTTTCCGAGATCGGAAATATTATCGTCCATAAAGAAATTTGAAAGAAATGCTTTTTTTTGTCAAGAACTTTTTATTTCGATGAGTACGTTTCTCAAACGACATTGTATCACTCCTAAAATATTGTAAATGAGAAAGTCTTATTTATCTAATCTATCCAAATCTTTTTGAAACATATAATTAATTTTTGCCATTTTCACATTCGTTTCTTTCTTAGATAATTCGTTTGATTATCGCATTTTATTTAAAAGTAGATGACAAATGGAAGAACATTTTAAATTACGAATGGAAGAAAGAAAAAAGATTATAAATAATTTTGGAACAACAACAAAAACAAACGCGTGATAACTGCTAGTCGGAACAAAACGAAAAAAATGATAACAATACATCGTTTGACTAGATAGATTTTAAACGTAGCTAATACATAGTTGTGTTGCATGTAAATACTAAAAATAAAAGTTAAGCTACAATAATTTCAAATTTTTTAGCTTTTTTTCCTCTTTGTCACACATCATGTAAAAATGTTGATAGTGAAAACTGGTTTATTATTATTATTAAAAGTGCAACATAAATATGAGAGCATATGATAGAATTAAACTTGACAAATGAAAGGTAATTTGACATGACCATGACGATATCGTTTCTTCGTGAACTAAAATAAGAAGAAAAACATTTAACAAATTTATTTAATTACATATTTTTAATACATTTTCTACCTTTATTTTGTTGTTGATTTCGTTTTAATAATGGCATTCGTGTTTGATTATAATAGGATGATAGTTTTTGTTTATGATGATGTTGTTGTTGAAGCATAAAATCACCTATTTTATTATTTTGAGTACTGATAATGAAATTAGTTGATTGAAAAGAAAAACTGTTATTATTAACAAACAATGTTTCTCCCAATAGGTGATCACTTGTAGAAAGAATTGAATTTAAACGTATAGTACGACGAGTAGATGATGCTCGCCGATGTTCTAGAATGATATAAGTAATCTCTTACTATCATTGAATAATTTATTTAATAAAATTCAGTATTCACCTTTTAATTCAACAGTTGAATTACTTCGTCCAGCTACACTTTCAGCAATGCAAACGTAAAAACCAAAATCTTCTTGTTGAATATCCTAAATTACAATAAGAATGTCGTAATTAATACCAGATTTGATGGCCAACAGGAGTATATTTTGATCTTCGCATAAAAATAGTTAGACAGAAACGATATAAGAAGTTGTGGATTTAATTTGATACATGTATAATGGGAACTGGATCTATTTATTTACTAGAACATGTCTATTTGATAATTCTTTAAGATAAACAGCTGAAAGTATTTCTTCTGGATTCTTTCACACATTTTATACATCTATGAATTTCATCAGATCAATTATAGAATCATATAGAAAATATTTCTCTAAACCGATTCTACACATATGGAAATTATCATCTACCATGTTAATAGAAATATTTGTTTTTATTTTGTTTTTTTGAGTTTTCTACTTTGGCTGACCTCTTGTACTGCATATACTTGTATTTATGATAGATAAAAAAAATGAGAGTGGGATTAACAAACCTTTATATTTAATGTAGCATGGAATGTATCCGAATGTCCATGTTGAGATTGCCAAAATCTCGTTGAGTGTTGGTCGATAATATTTAGAGATGAATCATCAATTTTTTTCCATGTAATTGTTGTATCTGGTGGTGCTTCTGCAATACATCTTAGGTTTCCTTGTTTTCCAATTGAATTATAAACAAGAATTGGATTTGCTTGAATTGAAGGGGCAACTACAAATGAAGTAGTTCAAAACAATAAAATGTAGAAAATATAAGTAATAAACTAAGTAAGATTCTCAGACTGAAACCTTTTCACAACTGGAATGACGTACATGATCATACCTAAGTTAGACATAATATCTTTCATTACGAATACAACTTAGTTCGAGATGATTGAGTGACTTCAATTTTTCATACTTCTCTGACGTCAATGTTCTTTTTTAAGAAAAAATCTCTCACGTATCCTCAAGCAATAACTTAATGTAAAGCAGAAAAATGTTCAGGAAAAAAAGGAAGAATTGATTTTCTCACTTGTCCTCAATGAAAAAATATGAGAATAGATTCTGGAAAGCACCCGATGTGATTTTGGGAATGTCGAAACATGCCATAGAACAGCACTTAGGTTTGATATTAATAACCTTGTTCAACAACTGTTAAAAGATATATCACTGGTTTATTTCTGATCGCTAAATTTAGTTTGTTCACTGGTCAAACTATTATTTTTCAAGTCGACCGAGTGAAAGTGGAGGAGGCTTATTCTTTTTCACCATAAAAAAAATCTTCTTCTTTATGTCGACTGAGTGAAACGATAGGAGACTTATTGCTTTTCACTTCGGTGTTGCCTAGCAAAATGCTTCCTTGTTTTCACACTGTGTTCTCTCTTACGAGTCAGCCACTTGTTCTCGGTTATCTTTGATCGCACATTTTTTGGAAAAAGATAATTCGAAAGTGCAGTGGCCGTAGATGATTTTCGGATATTTGCTTAAGTTATCCTATAATTAGTACCACAAAATAAGTATATTTTTTAGACAACTCTATAGTTTTTCCTATGAGATAATTAATCATCCCATGGTGTACTTCATAGTGAATGTATGGCTACAGTGCTTGATATGATGAAAGCTATAGTAGAATATATGACAGGATTCAGCATTCATTCAGGAATCAGCTGGTATGATAATGTGAATAATATGCCGTAGAAGATAAGTGTAGCGGAATAAATTTCGAAACATGTTTTTGCTGCTACAGGAGAAAACACTAGGTTCGATTTACTTTTTAAGTCGACTGAGTAAAACAGGTCCGGATCACTTTGCCGACACATAACTTGGCCGACATGTACACTTTGCCGACAGGTACTTTTTATGCGCGTTTGGCTTGCTAGGTAAGTACTCACTGGGGGGGGGGGGGGGGGGGGGGGGGGGGCCGGGGCGGGGGGGGGGGGGGGGGGGGGGGGGGGGGGGGGGGGGGGGGGGGGGGGGGGGGGGGGGGGGGGGGGGGGGGGGGGGGGGGGGGGGGGGGGGGGGGGGGGCGGGGGGNCCCACGTCCCTTTTTTTGGGGGTTTGGGTGGCTCGGCACACACCCCCGCCCCCCCCCCCCCCCCCCCCCCCCGCAAACGGTCACATTTGGAGAGAGATTCTCCTCTGTTTGTTTTTGCGCGACAAAATTGTAGCATAATCTATGTCTCATTTTTCTGATATACACAAAAAATCTTTCCTGTGCCTGAGGCTCGTTTTACAGCGTTAGCACCCCTCCATTCTCGAACAAACTCGACCTAGATCTCCAGTATAAAGGGAACAAAATGAACCCTAATTTCCCTGAAGTCCAAGAAAATTGGAAAAGGCTTTTTTGGACTTCAAGTTTTTGTCGGCAAAATGAGTTGTCGGCCAAGTGGTGTCGGCCAAGTGATGTGTCGACCAAGTAATGTGTCGGCAAAGTGATTGTCGGTGAAGTGAACGCGCCCCAGTGAAACTCAGGAGACTTATTGCTTTTCATTCAGAAAAAGTCTTTTTAAGCCGATCGAGTGAAACTCGGAGCGGCTTATTCCGTTTTACTACAAAAAGTTCTTCTTTCTTCTAGACCCTACTTTCTGCTTTGAGTCAACCACTCCTACTCAGCTATCACTCACTACTCGTACAGATTTGGTAAAAAAGATCATTCGAGAGTGCAAGAGCTGCATAAAAGCTTTTTTGATATATGTTTTAATTATTAAGTACTGAGTCTCAAAAGTTGAGCATATTTTCAATAACCTTTCTATGAAATAATTAATTGTCATGTCACACTTCATATACATTTAGAATGAATAGTATAGAGTGATTCATTAATGCTACTTATCAGTCTATGCTTCTGTATAATTTGCTGCATTCATAGTCTCAAGCATTATTACCGATAGGACTTACTACTAGAGCACTGCAATGTTCTAATTGCATTAAGGGATCCAAACGGTGTCTGAAGTGTTTCTAAGATACGTTTCACTCAGTCCGGTTTCCAATCTGCCAGTAGGATAGTTGGCATCTAGTTCTTTCTTTCTTCTTTCCACACTGTGTTTTCTTGTTCGAGACAGATACTCGTTCTCAGTTATTTCTGATCATACACATTTGGGGAAAAGATTATTCGAAAGTAGAAGAGTCGTAGATGACATATGTGAAGTTAGTTTTTGAATATTTGCTGTAGTTATCGTATAACTAGTGTCACAAAATGAGTATATTTTTAAGACAACTGTCGTTTCTTGGTTCATTCTCGAACTCCGCACACTTTCATACACCCACCACCTACCGCCTTTCAAGATTCTTTGATCTCAATTTGAAATTAATTAAAAGTGTGCGGAGTTCGGGAAGTAACGCGTTTTTTCTATGAGATAATTAATTGTCGCATGATTCATTTCATAGTGAATATATGCCACAGTGCTGGATAGGATGAAAGCTATACTATAGTAGAATACATGACACGACAATGAATCAGCTGATATAGGAAATAGGAATTCTTCTTGAAAAGTAGTCAAACTGTTATGAGTTTCTGAATCTTCTAATTTCGTCTATTTACCGTTTCACTCAGTCGACTTTCCAATCTATGTGCAGCATAGTTGGTCTCTAGTTCTTTCTTTCTTTGTAGACTCTTTTTCTCGTTCAGTCTGCTACTCGTTCTTGATTATTTCTGATGGTACAGATTTCGGGAAAAGATTATTCGAAAATACAGAAGTCGTAGATGACACATCTGACGTTAGTTTTCGGATATTTGCTTTACTTATTCTATAATTAGTACCATAGTGCATAGTGAATATATACTATAGTGCTTGATATGATGAAAGCTATAGTAGAATGTATAACACGATAATGAATCAGCTGTTATGTCAATGTGAATAATATGCTGTATAAGATACGTTGACAATTATGACTTCTTAGATGTTCTAATTTCTTCTGTTTACCGTTCCACTCAGTCAACTTTCCAATCTTCCCGAAGGGCAGTTGACATTTAGCTACATTTCTCATTGTATCTTCCCGAATGTCCAATTCATGTTGAACATTCTCTTTCTGAAAAAAGGTCAAACTGTTATTAATTTCTGAATGTTCTAATTTCGTCTGTTTTCCGTTTCACTCAGTCGACTTTCGAATCTTCTCGAAGGGTAGTTGGCTCGCTAGTCTTCTTTCCACACACTTTTCTTTGTTCGAACCATTCACTCGTTCTCAACTATTCCTAATCGTATAGATTTGAGACAAAGATCAATAGAAAGACTAAGAACTGTAGATAACACATTGAAATTAGTCTCTTAATTAACGTATTATATGAACCCCAAAACCTGAACATATTTTCAAGGACTCTGCCATTCTTCCTATGACCGTGATGTGACACTTTATATACATTCAGAATGCATAGTGTAGAGTGATTCATTAAGTAGTCACATGCTACTTATCAGTCTATGCTTCTGTATAATTTGCTGCATTCATAGACTGAAACATTATTACCGATAGAAAGCATCATATGTTTACTACTAGAGCACTACAGTGTTCTAATCGTTTTTAAGGGATTCAAACGGTGTCTAAAGTGTTTCTAAGAAACGTTTCACTCGGTCGGCTTTTCAATCTGTGCGCAGGGTAGTTGGCATCTAGTTTTTTAACTCTTTTACACTTTGGAATAAAAATCTCTTGTTCGAGATGAAATTTATTTTCATTGATCTTTTGCTCACATATGTTATCCAGTTTCTCTCTCCCACTACCACATACATCTGTATTTTTGTAAATATGTACAAGAAACGAAGAAAAAAACCCGATGAGAAGGCCAAACAAGCAATTGAATCGATTTTTAATCTGTTTGCATTGTAAAAACTGCATTTTAATGTGTTCATTTTTTTTAAATATTATTTATTATTATACTAAAAAAGAAAAAAAACCTAGTAAGAAGGTTAATCAGCAAAAAAATAAAATACCATTTGCCTACGTGTCAAATAGAAAAAAATGCGTTTGTTTGATACACAGTTTTCAAGGGCGATTTGTTGGCAACACCTTAGTAAGTGCATATAATTTTATAAAAAAATGTTGCTGAAGGTTATATTGTATATCGATATGATAATGATGATTATCATATTGTTTGAGAACAATTAAATTTTACTATATAGATGGAAACGTTTTAATCTAATTTTTTTCCTTTTTTTTTACAGTCAAAAGGATAAGAGGATATCATTACTTTTTTATCTCTATAAGTGACTTACAAGTCGCTTATGGGTTTTCAAAACTACAGAATTAATATTCTTTAGTTTTTATTCTGCATATTGACAGGGCAAAGTAGCTAATTATGTCTGAAGTTGCATGTCAACAGTCATTCAATTAGTCAAGGCTATCTTATCCTGTTTTCTTTTTTCTTTATTATTAAGTTGCATGTTCGTTTTACCGTCAATGGGGGATGTGTGTGGTTGATTCAATTAAAATTTTAAATGTTTATTTTTACTACTTAATAACCAACAGAAAAAGAAAAGCGCTATTTTTTTACTTCCGAAACATAAAAAGGATTTATTGTATGTAAACATACCAGAATATTTAAGTTGATCTGCTATGTAGATACAGAAAAACGAAGTAAAAAGATTTAAAATAAAAGAATTATCCTGCTAATGATAATGTTAAAGTTAAACACGACAAACCGCTTATTCAAAAAATAGTAACGTGATCAGAACATAGAAAATTATGTAACATACCATTTTTGGTATAGATGAAAAATTATATTTCAATATTTATTGGATACTCGGAGGTCTATAATTACATTGGTATCTAACACTATGCGATTCATTTTTTTTTCCAAACAGGCGGAATTGTAGAACTCAATATTCCCGGCAAAACGAGATCCGATGCTACTGTGTAAAGTATTTTTTCGATAACTCTAAAATAAATTGCTCAATGCCATTTGTCCTCTACCTCACTGATGCCCGGGAAAAAAGCGACGTTTTCTCGAAATAAAAATTCGTCATCATCGTCGATCCGCAAGTGTCTGAACATCTCTAGTGGATGATTATTCTTAAGATTATAAGGCTTAAAAAAGAGCGTTTAACGGAAACACTTTTTTGACCAACAGATAATTTTACCTAATTGAAACACTCCCTCCCCCTCTCCTGGCTGTATGATAGTTTCGCTTTTAAAGACAATATAAACTAGTTGTTTAATCTTGATGTTCTGACTAAATTTTGCTGAAATTTCATATTTTTTGTATTACAAACAATTTATATTTTTTTTGTTACACAACCAAAACAAAAAAAATGTCAATGAGAAAAAAGAAGCTAACAAACGAATGCACACAAGATCTAGTAAAAAGAACATATTCTTAGTTTAGTTTCTTTCTAATACAAACAAAAGTCTAATTAAGGAAAAAAATATACATCAGTTGAAATGGATAATTCCTGTAGAGTCAGTCGAGTAGAGGAGTAATAAAATCATAAAAACAGGTACAACATCGATACAATGTATGTATGGCTCAATCGAAAATGAACAGAAATTGAACATAAACAAACAAACAAACAAAAAAAGTTCTGTAGTAGTAGATGAAAACAACAATGATAAATATAGAAATGCATATTAGAAATAGAATGCAAATTTTTTTTTCTCTGTAGAAACAACCTTTTCTTTTTATTAATGAGCCAGTCACAGTTTGAACGTACAAAAGCGTCATTTCTTACTCAAATCATGATCATTCTTTTCAAAGAAACAAACAAATAAATAAATAATTAAACGAACCATGAAGTGCACATTTATCTATAATATCATGAAGCCTAGACATGGCTACATGTGAATGAGGTTTTTACCAACGAAAATATACATCGAAGTCTCAATCAAAAGCATTATACATCTCAATAGAAGAGATCAAGAAAAAGATGATGACAAATGAAGAAACAAATGAAAGAAAAGAAGAAATGATTGATTGATATGATTACTGGGTGAACTAACTGACTATATAAGTTAGTTACCTGTTTAAGACAAAATCCGATTGTCATAATTGATGAAAACAGAACAGAAGTGTATGTGATCAGATTGGATATGAATGATCAGTGAATGAATGAAGTTAAGAAACTGTTTATAAGCTCTTAAACTAACTAATTAATCGTTTATAACTGTTCGAATCACTGTTTTCAGTGATCACTGTCTAAGTGCAAATATTGTGCACACTTCTTAGAAACTGATCTCAATCATGTAACGGCTCATCTCGAACACCAGTCATCATATGGTATTGCGCAGAGCAAAGAATTTTTAGAGCAGATGAGTAGAAAGCGGAAAAAGTTACAAATATATGAAAACAGACATGTACACAAAATCACCGAGTAAGGAAAATTAAAAAAGCGTAACAACATCAAGTCTATAGAAGAGACTCACACATCTGTACCATTTGACTAAGTCTTCAACTTTCACCCAACGCACAAATTGGAATGATGCCTACTTTCGAGTCTTGTTCATCTTATATCATGGATTGCACATAGCATCAGTTATATCACAGAATATAGTTCTAATCAACACACATATTTTATTCAAACTTGTGAAATTATTGCTGGTAATAAACATCGACACGTTTCAACGATCATATTTGGTATAAATTGTCTAACAATCGATTTATCTTCTGTTGCATATAATAATTCGAGACCACCTGTTCTCGCATACGAGCAACATTGATGATTCACACCGGCATGTGTTTCACTTAATGCTAATAAATTTTGTTGTGGTGAATTTTTCATATGCGACGTTTTTATTGATGTTGAATTACATAGTCCAACACATTCACCAATATCTAACACTCGAGGATGAATGATAAAATTCAATGAACGTGAATTACTAAAATCTAATGTTAATGAACGGCGACAACATGGACTTGATGATGAACATGTGGGTTGATTTACTGATGAACGTCGTATACGAGATTGAGATTTGTCCGTTTTTTCACCATATTCCACATATAAATAAGGACTATAATGCTTTTCTTCAGCATCAGCAGGATCTTGTTGTTTTTCATGATCACTATTAATTCTATTGTTACTTATATAATCATCAGAATAGGGTGAATATAATGGATATCCGTGTGGTATTAATGATAAATCTTTACTTATGGCAATACCAGAGGGCAAATATATTAGACTATCATAAATAGATTTCAAATTCGGTTTGCTAAATGTTAATTCATACCAGTCTTTAACTCGTTTCACATCTGATATAATAATTCTTGAACTTTTTATTTTTCCTAATGAACTTATTAATTTTTCGCTATAAGCTACTGATTCATTTGGTACAGGACGAAATATTTTGTATATTTTAAACATGTCTGGTGTTAATTTTTTATTTGGATTATGAAAATAACCACTTTTTATGTATAATTTTATGGCGTTAATCTCTTGGTCTCTTGGTAATGGTGCATTTTTTTGTTTTTGTTTCAAAAATTGATAACATTCAATATCATTCGTTGGAAAACCATGTTCTCGCAATCGTTTTTCACATGAATGATTAAAAAATTGTTGGCCTGGTATTAGAATACGTTCATACTTCGTTAAATCTTCCACAAAACTAGGATTAGCATCTTTTTGTAGTAATGGATTTGTTTGTTGAAATTCTAATTGTTTTATCATCACATCAGGTATCGATGATTTACCATTATAAGCCGATACATTTGGTGGACTCTTGATTCTTAAACGCTGTAATAACAATCTTGTAAACGAATCTAGTTGATTTCTACTAGCACGAACCGATGTAACACCAGAATTTTCACCTCCTCTAAAATGATTTACAACACCGTCTGGTATAGCTTGTTTGACTAAACGTAGTGCATCATTGAAATTTGTTTCTGATGGTTCATTTGCTGGTATTGCATGATTATGTCGTCGAAATCTTGATACAACAATATTTTCTTCTTCATCGTCATAATGTGATCCACCACACGATGAAGTAGGCGTATGAATTCTGTTTAGACGAGCTGCTTTTACGACCGTTTCTAACGGACTATAGTGTTCATCGTTCGTATTATGAATTAATTGTTTAACAGTCATATTATTTGATAGTGATGCCGATTGAATTTCGATAACAATGAATGATAATAATAATAATGAATAAGTTAAGATAGTATTTTCAGATTGAATAATATTTAAATATTTTATTATTGAGCACATTATGAAAGAACAGATACAACTAATGGTATAGAACTAAAGGAAACAATTAGAACTTTAGAAGAACTAAATGCAATTAACTTAAATGTATGTGTAACGGTTTCATACTATTCATTTGTGAATCCTCATTTTAATGAATTTTAATAAACTATGAGTTTTATGTTTAAAATAAGAACGTACTCAAACACACACTAGTTGTTACCAGTACAGTGTATTAGAAAATTCTAGAATTTTCTCAAATTGCTAAGAAATTAATCGATCTACTTTAAGTGCTACTGAAGACTATCGAGAATTGAATTCAATTTCGATATGCGCGATAAAGATACATAAATACGCTCGTGCTCCACTCGTAGATTGCATACCGTTCTGATACGAAAAACTATATCTGCACATTGACCTTGATGTTTACTGTCAGACTCAACTATTTTGTTATTAATTACATAAACCCGTTACACAGATATATAAGATATAAATAAACTACTTTACAATACCTTTTTTTATTTTTCTAATGTCTTATATCTTTTTATAAAATCGTTTTTAACAATAATTGTTTGTTTCTTTCTATTGATATTAAAACATTAATATATAGATATATATATTTATCGACAAAAAGAGATGATATATATCCAATTACGTGAATGTATTATATAGTGTTGTTATTTTATTAGAAAAAAAATTTTTTTTATTCTGAAAATATCATTCAAATCATCGGTGGTTTAAATTATTATTTGTTGCTTCTGCTATCACACTATTGCTATTGTGCACAAGAGTAGGTGTGGAAAAAAGAGGCAGAGAAGAGAGCTCAATATGAAAAAAAAAAAGAAAAAAAATTATAATATAATAATTTTTTTTGCTTGGTAATGGCAACACAAAAAAAAATGAGAAGAAATATAGAAAATTAGAGAAATATAAGAAAATAAGAGAGAAAGATCACTATAAATTGTGAGGAGCAGAGCGAGTGACTGTATACTTATAGATACACACGTACACAACAGACTATGGAAAAACAATAGAAACAAAGAAGAGAAAAAAGTGATTATTTCTCATTATCATCATTCTTTGTTAAAAGAAGATATCTAATGAATGATATCAACAAGAATAGAATTGATTATTGATATGAACTATTTTTTGTGATAAATTATCACTATATAAGTGTAAATAGAATATCAATCAAATAAGATTAACAGTACAAAATAACAACTTTATTTCTAACTTTTAATCTTTTATAGAGCATTTCTTTAGGTTTTTGAACAAATTGAAATTAGACAGTGATGGTCATTCTAATCAAGTAACGATTTACACTTGGACATTTTTGAATAATTTTGTCTTTATTATGTCGACAGACATTATGCAATCGTTCTGGAATTTTTGCTGCTGTTTTTCTTGTTTAGTTACTTTTTTTTGAAAAATGTACACGACGTGATCTAGCGAACTACGCTACGCTACATAGAAAACTTATTAAAGCGGGAGCATAGTCTCTGGATACTGATTGCATATTCATCGTTATCGTCACTGATTGACGTATCCATCGTACATGCAGATTGATAACAGCACGTTCTTTTTTCAAATACAAGCATAAATTCGACGCCATAAGCTAAAATATCTTAACATTTTCAAATATATACATATACATTTGATACTAATATGTCATAATCTGATATATTTGAATGTTTACATGAAATACTTTATGTTAAATTTAATTAGTCTCTGAAAAACAATAAATATTGTGACTTTGTGGAAACAGGAAAACACGAATGATCGTCTGAGAATAGCACAATTCCGATTATTATTTTATGATCACGTTGCTTTGGCTTGAATACTTATGTATTTATGTATCAGGGATGGGATCGGTTCAGTTTGAGAGCAAGTTGAATTAATTGAACAACGTTTTTCAAAGGATTTGTAAACATATAAAGATTTTGACAAAAAATATTATTCTTTGATTATCAAAGTCATCGACCCCCTAGTTTTTCTTGTATTTTTATCGTTGTTTTCAATATTGTATTAAAAAATTCGTATCAGAAATACAAATAAGTCCTTTATGATTGATATCTTTGGTTGTCTCACACACACAAATTTATGTTATGTTTACATTACAATTAGCTTCTTGCTGATCAAAAATAAATCTCTATTTCATATGAAACGATTGTACATATATAAACTTATTTAAAAAAGATTTTCGATTTTTTGCTTTGATTCGATTTTAAAATAACCGATCCCACTCCCGATAATAACCGATCCCACTTCTGTCATTCATGTGTTCGGAAAAAAACAAACTCTACACCTACGTCTTAGTTGTTTTTCGGTTAATCATCAAAGAAAAAGTAGAGATTATGTTAGATCATTCGAAAAATTTACTGAAGCATTTATTTAACACAACACAATAGGTAAGCGAATTAACATTTACGCGAGAAATAAAGATAATTTTTTTTCTTTCGATATGCCCGATAGCGAATTTTAAAAAAAAATCAACATTCCATTGAACAATTAGTGTTATGATAAAAAAATTTTCTTCTTTCCTAAAATAATAAGTATAAGTCAAAAATTATATTCAATATTTAATCTTTTATGCAATCGTATGTGTGTCAGAATATATTTTTTTCCCTTTATCACGCTTTCAAATAAATTGAACGAATTAAATATATCTTTGTTTATATATAATTCAAAAACATATCATATATAATTACTGTTTTTCTTTTTTCTTTGTGAAAATCACTTTTTATATTTGTGGGAGAAAGTAACACACAATCGTCTTAATCAAAACAAGAAGAATTATGAAAAACCTTGGCATATTTTTGTCTTTGATCTATTGTTTTAAAATAAACAGTTAAAGTAAAATAAAAAGAAAAATGTTAAGAATAATTTATTATGTAGGAATAAATTAACAAGGATAAAGAGTCTACAAAAAAAAATGTCAGCCAACACATGTACCGAATGGACGAATTAGCTTACTGCTCTAAATTTAGTGTCAAAACAAGTTTACTTGAATAAAGTTTGTAAAAGAAAAAGTCTCTAATAGGAGAAAATTTTAATTATACATAATTAAAATTAATTTAACGATCGTTATTGAAAATTCTTTCTTATTTCATATGTTTTTGTATATTTTTCAGATACAGATTCTGTTCAGTTTATCATTTTTGTTGAGTAGTCAAAATACAACTTCAGATTGTATACTCTATTTTCATGTTCTAGAGGTCATTGAGAGGAAAAGAGTAGTGATGTCATTATGAAAAAGCTCTGATATAAAAAGAAATAAACGCTCAGTGACACGTATCTTTTTAGTATAGATGTTTATTATTATCAACCTCTGAAACTCTAAATAAATACAAAGAAAATATGTCTGTTACTACTAACAAAATTTATGATTATATTCTTGACAAATTACTTATTTATAAAGATCTTATTTCTCTCTACATTCTTTTTTAGATGTCTTATCAATTAATGAATATTTTTGGATCATTCATATACGATGTTTGAATTTATTCAAAGTTCTACCCATCTCCTGATAGATAATACATTTTATTTCATCTATTCTTTGATGTCCTAGACGAATTATTCCATTTGTGTTTTTCTTATTTCCGCAATTATAGACATATAACATTCACGAGTAGGTCAAGCCTTCATATTTTGATGAGAAGTTAAAGAAAAAAAGAAAAAGAAAGAAAAATCATTGACCATTAGAATATC